AGTAATACAGATGTCACACAAATCAACAAAGAATTAATTTATATAGGCAACGCATTATTTCTATTGGTTTTATTTGATAAACAATTATATAAGCACAGATACTAAGTTAATATATTTAGGACATGAAACGTAACTTGTTGTTTACGACAGTACAATGGATAAAATAAACACAAGAGTAAAAGCTGTGATTAGATTATGGAGTTAAAACACCGATACTCAAGGGATCTTTCTGAGTAACCCGGCCATGGCCAGTTGCTCTAACAAATTCAATTATTTAAGAATGGTGCATTAAAAATTTAACGAGAAATTATATCAATCAAGAAATTAACTATATCAATTTTGGAGTCGATGTTGTGCTAGTACGAATTGCTAAAGGGTGTTTTTTTTAGAGGTATAAAAATTTAAATTGCAATAAAACAACGATGTATTATTCGAAAGACATGAATTTTTTTTTATTCGAAAGATAATCTTGTGGCATTACATTTTAAATATGATCAAGCAAGGCGTAGATTCGTCGAATGGGCCCAAAACGAGATTGCCGTTGTTCCCGATTTTCATAAGCGAATTTTGTTTAGCGATGAAGCGCACTTCTGGTTGAATGGCTACGCCAACAAACAAAACTGCCGCATTTGGAGTGAAGCTAATCCACAAGTGTATGTCGAAACACCGTTACATCCAGAAAAACTGACTGTTTGGTGCGCTTTATGGGCTGGTGGAATCATTGGTCCGTACTTCTTCAAAAACGATGAAGGCCACAACGTTACAGTCAATGGTGATCGGTATAGAGCCATGATTACTAACTTTTTCATTCCTGAATTGAACAATCATGATGTCCAGGAGCTGTGGTTCCAACAAGACTGCGCAACATGTCACACAGCTCGTGCCACAATCTATTTATTGAAAGACACGTTTGGTGACCGCCTAATTTCACGTTTTGGACCTGTGAATTGGCCTCTAAGATCTTGTGATTTAACACCGCTAGACTATTTTCTGTGGGGCTATGTAAAGTCATTGGTCTATGCGGATAAGCCACAAACGCTTGACCATTTGGAAGACAACATTCGCCGTGTTATTGCCGATATACGGCCACAAATGTTGGAAAAAGTCATCGAAAATTGGACGTCCAGATTGGACTACATCCGAGCCAGCGGTGGCAGTCCTATGCCAGAAATCATATTTAAAATGTAATGCCACAAGATTATCTTTCGAATAAAAAAAATTCATGTCAATCGAATAATACATCGTTGTTTTATTGCAATTTAAAGTTCTATACCTCTAAAAAAACACCCTATATAACTATTTTAAGCATAACTAAGGTAACTATTTTCCTTTTTGAAATTGTAGCGTTTTGTGATAACACTAACAGTAGAATAGCGACCGTTTTATCGGTCAAACGAATTTTTAATTTACCCTCATGTCTTCCAATCGGAAAACAACTATAGATTAAATGTTTCAAGGCGATTGGGATATTGACTATTTCATAGAGAAAAACAAACATGGATCAGCAACTTGTTTGATTCGTTGTGAAAGTTTTATATTTAAATAATATAATTTTGCTTGTCACTATACCACTAAGCCCAAATCTTTCAATGGCTCATTCTCGAGGATCTCTTTCAAGACGAGATAAACTGGATGTCTAAAAATAAATAAATAAATAAATTCTTTGTAACTGCAACAAAATATTGGGGGGTGAGTGAGTGAATGAATATTAACGTCGCACTGTTCAGCTACATGAGGGCTTTTGGCGACGGACCACGTAATTTTGAATCATGATCAAGTGATGTGGACAGCACCTGAGCTGGCACCCCTCCCCCCTCTCCTAACTACCAAACCACACCAACGGGAGGACGTTTCAGCTCTCGACAGATTTAACGTGCATCGCTGCCCTACACGGCGGGTCTGGGCTCGAACTCGTGACAAGGCCAGCCACGATCGGATACCTTAGCTACCGAAGCCCAAAACATTGGGGGAGGGGGAGGACTTAGGATTATTGACGGAAGGAAATCGAAATAACCTCATAATTGAGTTAAAAAATGCAAAAAAACTATTTTTGTGAGTTGAATTTGAAAAAGTTTGATATAGTTTTAAAATAAAATTCAAAATCATGAGTTTTAATATTTTGATGAGAATTTTCCGCATTTTAAATATCATTGCTATCCGCATGTTGCGTTCTACTCCTACCCCTCATTAATCCGCATGGTACAGCCCGCGTGTAATGGTTGTCATATGTATGTGGCCCGGCGGTAAAAAAGGTTAAATACCCCTGAGTTAAAACGATTGTGAGTAATAGAATTATGCAAGCCTTGTCAATTAAGAGTTAAAATTGGAGAAAATAATAGTTTCTTCAGTTTTATTTAGTAAAATATATATATAACATAAAGCAAAAAAAAAAAAAATTTTTTTTTTTTAAACAGTATGAAAGTTATTGATGAAACAAATGTAAGTATGAAAACACTGATTGATAAGAAAAGAATTATGATTTTTCACCAATTCTGGATAAGTTAATTAAGAGGTTTAAAATTTAAATGTGTTATTTTCATTAAGCTTAATTTGATGATGTACAATCCTGAAATTAATCTTTTTTCGACTGTGCGAATAAATCTAAAACTGTCAAGATTCCCTAACCTAAAAATAACAAAATAAAACATTAAAAGAATCCAATTGAAAAGAAAAATATTAATCGCTTTTATTTAAACACAAAATTGATAGCGTAGACCGATTAAAATCGTGATTACGTGCAATCACACACACATAAAAAACCAGCACAAAAAAATGAAGCTAAGATGGTAAGAAATTCGAGGCTGTATTTTTCAAGATTAAAAAATATCTTTTTCAATCTCTGAATTAATTATGAAAGTAATGCCTGCAATTAATTGAATATAAAAAGCGAAATGCATGATAAGTTTATGCCCCCAAAAAATATATCAAGTGGATTAAAGATTTTAAGTAACTTTTTTTTAACAACTTTATCCTCAAATCGTTCATCCTTATCAAAGAAAACCTGTAAATTATTACGAATCAAAAAATTTAATCTAAAAATGTAACCAAAAATATTTTTTTAAAAAAACTGCTCTATATTGCAGTTAAATTAATCAACTTTTTCTTTAAAAAAATAAATAAAATCTTCTTTAAAAAATAATTTTAAAAAACCATAAAAGAACCCAAAATGATTTTTTTGAATCAGACAAATGGAGATATATAAAAAACGTTAATCAGGGTATATTTTTTTTAAGTTTAAAAAAAACGATGGAAAAAAATAAAGGGGTGCACCAAATATTTAATTATGAATGAGAATAAAACATGCAACATTTGTTTTTAAAAAATTTCACAAGTTCTTTTTGCTTCTTTCTTCAGCTTTTTTTTTATCATTATTTAAACAACATATCTGAACAATTAAACACGAAGTCATAGTTTAAAAAAAAAATTCAAGTTTTTTCATCAAGACTCTTTTATATAATTTTAAGATTTAGTATTAAATGCAAACTCTTATTTCTGACAGATCAATTAAAAAACACAAATTTCAAATAAAGTACACAATCAAAAAAAAAAAAAAAAATTAATATTTTTCTTTAGTTAAAAATGTTTTTTTTTATTCCGAGAATTAAAAGTCCCTAAAGGGAAAAAAAAACATTGATATTTTTAAAAATTATCATAATTTTTATTTCAAACAAAATATTCATTTTGAGGGAAAGAAGTATGCCTTTTAGATTAATATAAAATATATTATTGTAGTTTACAACGAAATATTAAGTGGTTTTTTTTTATTTAGAAACAAGAGCTTGCGGAGAAAAATAACTTAATTTTTATAGAACAAGCCAGATTAAGTTTCTAATCACAAAAAATAGAATGTGAATTGTTACACCTCAAAAAAGCATAAATAAAGATATTGCTTACTCATAAGATGAAAAACATAAAACGTATCACTTTTTTAGTGTGGTACCACATAGCTTAATAACAATTGGCACAATGTAATTTTGAAGCCCAGTTTCCCCCCCCCCAAGGGGGAGGGTACCTAAGCTCTGACGATGCGAAATGGTACTAGGAATTTAATTTTGCCAAGAGCACTCAGGTCAAACACGACCTCTAGAAATCTTAAACATGCCGCATAATCACACGATATTGACGCTGTAAATTTTTGCATCATGAAAATTCACCGACTTGGGCCGGGGTCGAACCCGCAAACTTGACCGTACAAGGCCAGTTGCACCACTCAGCCGCTTAACAAATTTTTTAAAAATTTAATGAAATAACATCCCACAAGCAAATTTTTTTTTTAAAAAAAAAGTGAGAAATACTGAAAATGAAACCTAAAAGAACACACACAAGTAATAAAAAACAATTTTTTAAAGTCAATTCCTACTTAGGTCAACAAAGAAAAATTTTATTTTAGTTACTTTTTAGTTGTTGTTTTCTGATGCCACCTGTCTGACGTAGTCAGATCGAGGCCCACGAAATTCATCGTGGCATGGGCAAGAGGTACAGGTGACAGTACGATTTAGCTCAGCGAAATTTCCCGAAAAGACGATAGATGGCGACACGACCTCTATCTCCACCTCCACAATTTCTGCATGTAAACTGAAGGGGAGGGAAATATTCTCCAGTCTCTGCGCTCGTGATTAAGCCCAAAAGACTACGGACCCACTGATTTAACGAGCACTGATTTAACGAGTGTGTACTCGGAGGGTGTTTGTTGGCATCGGGCATCAAACCCAGGCCTTCCGGTCTGGAGTCCGATGCTCTAACCACTAGGCTACCCACGGCCCTTACTTTTTAGTAAATAGTAACAGTTAATATGAATATGTATATACATATGACAGAACTACAATGTTAAGTGACAAAATAGAGAGAAGGCGATTTTTTCCTAGCAATTTTCCATTTTCCTTTCTGTATATGGTGTTAGACTATTTTTTGTTTGTTTGTTACTATTTATTCATTATTTAAATTTAATTATTCCAATAAAATAGTATATTTAAAAGAAATCACATTCTCAGAAACTGAGCCATCCCAGATGGGATTCAAACCCACGACCTTTGGATTAGAAGTTCAACCCGCTATCCATTGCGCTACAGGGACATAACGAACGATTTTAATTTTTATACATGCTGTTGAACTATTATTTTTTTTGTTACTATTTATTCATTTTTAAATTCAGTTAACGAATTAATATTTGAAAAAACTGTACTAACATCAAGTGTCATCCACTACAAGTATACAAAAAATGCATTTGAACTTGAATGGATGAATAGAAAGTATTTTATTAACGACTGAAAATTTTAACAACATATATAACTAGGGGGGAGAGTGAACTAACAGTAGGAATTGAATAAATAGGGGGAATAGAAGCTAGTCTACTACACAAGTCAGTTGTGTGAGATCAACAAGAAAATTACATGAGTTTCAATAAGTATATGAGATAAAACATAAAAAAATTGAAATATCCAACATTAAAGAGCAATATACACACAAATACATGACCTTAACTTATTTCTAAATAACAAAAATTTTAACAGTTGTCATAAAAATTCTTGATACTTTTGCATCATTCCATTATTATGCTAATGATGCTGCGTTATGAAAAGTTTTTGCATTACTTTGTTTCGACTTGGATCGCAGCCAAAGAAATGTTGAAAGAGCTTATTATAGAATTGTATCGTATCAATAGTTATTTGCAAACAATTTTCTGAAAACAGAATGAGTAAAAATAACTTCTACAAAATAAGATACATACCTCCCTTTCCCTATTCGAATTCAAAAGTTTTAGACATCTTACAAGTTTCCAAAAAAATATCTTCAAGATATTTCAACTGAGACATAGAAACTGTGACATCACATCAACGCCTTTTTGTTGAATTTTCCTTCTACGATGAACAAGTGCTAGTTTTAAAAAACTCGAAAACCATTTTCAACATTTCCTTTTTACGACCACGTTGTTGTTGTTTTTATCCTACTGTTGGCACTCCCCAGTGGAAAAGTATAAAATTTCGAATGTCATACTCTGAAATGACATGTAACCAATTTAAATTTGCTTCTTTTAAAATTTCTGTGCAGTATAAAAATAAAAACTGACTTATAAACATACATAAATTTCTTAATCGGATAAAACATTTTTCTCTGTGATATAAATCAAAAATATAGAAAATAAGATATTTTCGCTACTTTGAAAAACATAGAAAACACAAAGAAAAAAACTCTCTTGTCGTCACATGAAATGAAAATAGATCAAATGTTTGGTGATAATATATAATTCTTTAGAAATTTTAATTCATTTTATAAAAAATAACTATCTCTCAAAACATACAAAAAGTTTTTCGTAATTTTGTAATAAATTTATTTATATACGTAAGGTACAGTTAGTAAAAATGAGTCTTAAAAAGTTGAGCAATGATTATGAAGAGTTGTATAATTTGTACAATGGGGTTTGGTCAACGTTAGGCGGACAGGGACCCCCCCCACAGTTATCTTAATAAATTATAGATAAAATTAAAAAATCAATCAAAAATTACAATCGAACCTCTATAATAACGAAGTTGCTAAATTCTGAAAAAAAGTTCGTAAAATGGAAAATTCGTTATATAGAGGCTCCTCATTCAATATACTTTATAAACCAAATAAAACAAATTTTAAATTCATAAACACTATCGATTAAAAAAATGCAATTATTCACACCTTTTTGTAAATTAAGATCTCTTTATTTTACATATTTTACTCATCAAAAAAGAAAGAAAGAAACACTGCAAGGAAAACAAGAAAAAAGAATATCGAGGAACACACTGTATTTTCAACATTTAGAAAAACATTTTATATTAAAATTAATGAATTTTAAGTACATTTATTAATTCAAAGCATACAAGTAATTTTGAACAAACAATTTCTCTGCAAGGAAAAAAGAAAAAAGAATATCGAGGAACACACTGTATTTTCAACATTTAGAAAAACATTTTATATTAAAATTAATGAATTTTAAGTACATTTATTAATTCAAAGCATACAAGTAATTTTGAACAAACAATTTCTCACTAAAAATTGATGTTTGACTTTTCAAGGACTAGTTCATGGAGACGGGAACACGAGGCAACTCCACTGAGGGTGAAAGGGGATATAGAAGATGTTTCTAGTGAACCGGACAATGGAGATTAAAGGTTGCAAGGACGAAACCACCAGAATTCTATTTCTCTCGGCGAGTTAGGCACCAAAGTGCAATATTTATGACCACCATAAAATGTGTTAAAAGAAAGAATAACTTGAAATGTCCAGAAATACTTCAAAAATAGGGAGAAAAAAATTGAATCACATAAGGAAAAGTTCGTTACATAGAAAATGCACTTCACTACAGGGAGTTTATTTTATGAAGAAAATCGTGAAATGTTCTTGATTTGAGGAAAAAGTTCGCTATATAGAACAATTCGCAATATAGAAGTTCGTAATACGGAGGTTCAACTGTATTTACAATTTCTTTTAAAAGAATGACACTGAACGATATGAATTCAGTGACAAGGTCTAAATTCAAAGACAAAACTGTAAAGTTTAAAAACCAAATTTCTCTGAATTTCTCATCACAAATAGAACACTTCAGCGAAAACCCTCACCAGACTCAGCACTACGCCACCTTAGAGGGATGAAAATCCACAAAGAAGGAGCAAGAACGCACCAGCAATGTATGAACTTCCCTGACCACCTGTTCTGTCCTGCTATTCAGGCGATCTTGCAGCGAATTAGCGACTGTCCTCAGGACGATCTGTATTCGGACAACTGTCTAGACATAGCCGACGTGGTATATTGAACCTTAGGTCCTATATGAGAATAACTTTCCATTTTAAACACCGTAGTGGGTGTTTATTAACGTCGCACTATAAAGTAATACAAGGGATGTGGCGATTGACCTCACAATTTGATCTCGTAAAGTGACGAGGGCGGCACATGAGCTTCGACACCACGCCAATGGGAGTACTTAGAGTTTCGACAGATTTAACACGGTGGATCTTTAGTGGCACTAAGGTTCGAACTCATGACACGCTGGTCACGAAATCGTGACCATAACACTGGAAAATTTGTTTATCATTTCACATAGCCTGTCAAGTTATAAATAAAGGGTGTTTTTTTTTTTAGAGGTATAGAACTTTAAATTCCAATAAAACAACGATGTATTATTCGATTGACATGAATTTTTTTTTATTCGAAAGATAATCTTGTGGCATTACATTTTAAGTATGATTTCTGGCATATGACTGCCACGGCTGGCTCAGATGTAGTCCAACTTTCGATGACTTTTTCCAACATTTGTGGCCGTATATCGGCAATAACACGGCGAATGTTGTCTTCCAAATGGTCAAGCGTTTGTGGCTTATATCCGCATAGCCCCACAGAAAATAGTCTAGCGGTGTTAAATCACAAGATCTTGGAGGCCAATTCACAGGTCCAAAACGTGAAATTAGGCGGTCACCAAACGTGTCTTTCAATAAATCGATTGTGGCACGAGCTGTGTGACATGTTGCGCCGTCTTGTTGGAACCACAGCTCCTGGACACCATGATTGTTCAATTCAGGAATGATAAAGTTAGTAATCATGGCTCTATACCGATCACCATTGACTGTAACGTTGTGACCTTCATCGTTTTTGAAGAAGAATTCCACCAGCCCATAAAGCGCACCAAACAGTCAGTTTTTCTGGATGTAACGGTTTTTCGACATACACTTGTGGATTAGCTTCACTCCAAATGCGGCAGTTTTGTTTGTTGACGTAGCCATTCAACCAGAAGTGCGCTTCATCGCTAAACAAAATTCGCTTATGAAAATCGGGAACAACGGCCATCTCGTTTTGGGCCCATTCGACGAATCTACGCCTTGCTTGATCCTATTTAAAATGTAATGCCACAAGATTATCTTTCGAATAAAAAAAATTCATGTCAATCGAATAATACATCGTTTTTTTATTGCAATTTAAAGTTCTATACCTCTAAAAAAACACCCAATATATATGCCTTGTGCATGTCATATAACAGATCTATATTAATAAATGGGATTTTTTGTTGAATAGTTTTCTTGGACACAGAAAAAAAGCAGAGTGAAGTAAGAATAATACACCGTAAAAAATCTGGCGTATAACTCGCCCTTTTAACACAAAAACTAAGCTTAAAATTTACAGGTGCGCCTTATACGCCGGGTATAAAAATGATAGCTTTAAAAATAAAAAAACTTCTACATATATTGAAATACTGCTTATGTAAAAAAAATTGGCATTCCTTATGAACTTAAAAGGTTGTAGTTTTAGAAGTATACTATTGTTCTCTAAAGCTAGAAATAATAATTCAAATATACAGCTTTAAAACAAGTGCATATAAGAGAATTGCGCATGTGTACATTTCAGGTTTCTTCGTACGAAAAGTGGTGCATGTTATACGGCGAATATACCTAAAGATTAAAAATTGCAGCTTGAAAATATAGGTGCGCGTTATACACCAGATTTTACGGTACACATACAATAAATTTCAGCAAAATATATAATTCTTTATATCAGTGATTCCCAAAGCGGTCTATACCAACTCCCAGGGGTCTACGATCGTCTGCAAGGGGTCTACGTCACCAGGAAAAAAGTTGGGGGGGGGGGTCTATGATTATGGCTGTCATTTAACCAGTTCGTAGCATTTATTTTAGCTTTTAATTAATTGAATAAATATCCCACATACACACAGGATGTTACATATTTACTTAAAAGTAATATTTTATTATAATATAAACATATCTATCTCGAATTATGGAATAGCGTGAGAAAATTTTTAATTTCTTTTCCTAGTGAAAATGAATTTCGGCGCGGTTGCCAATCTTCAGAAAAAACAAAAGGAAAAAAAAAAAAAAGACGAGACACTACTGACTGAGGAGATACAGGATTCAACCAAACAAAATTGATGCTAAATGTTGAAAATTTGTTTAAAAAAAAGCATCAGATTCATCCTTCCCGTTCAAACCATTTATTTGTTGCTCTGTTATTTAATATAACAGGTATTAAACTTTGATTTAATAAATAAATGTTTAAAATTAAGATGTGTTTGTTTTCTTAAGATTTTCACACTACACTTC